TTTTTAATTTATCATAAGTATTTATTAATTATAAAGCTCTAGCTGGGAGAAAAACTTGCCATGCATCTGAAAGTGAGTACCTTACCCCAAATAATTTCTTATGTTCTAATAAGAATGTATTGGAAGAAATTTCATCAATAATGGAAGATCCAATTACTGGTCTTCTGGATTAAGGCATTCTTTTATTGCAAGATTTTAATGCTAGAATGGGAAGTTCAAATATTGCCAATGAAATCTCAGACTAATTAAATGATTATAGCCTTAAGGAAAGGGCAACCAACACTCCACTTGCAGTCCTCCCAGTGATAGCCTCTATCTGCGAGGAACAGATGGGCGCATATACCTTATTTCAAATGAAAAAAATATATATAAGGAGCTGTTTGAAAAATCAGTTCAACTTTGGAATAAAAAAGGAATGACATTATTTCTTTATGAAGCCCTTTTCAGCTTTCTGCTGCAGGAATGGCTTTATGGTTTTATTGAAGAATGCAATGGTAGACCGAACCAAATGAATTGCGCTGGGCCTTCACTTACTCGGATGTTCACATGTGGCACAGAAGTAACAGTGACAATAATTATCACTACTGCTTTGTGAGCGCATACTATGTGCCAGATACTCCTCCACACTTGTCCGACCCTATTTTTACAGATAAGGAAACTGAGGCACTGAGGTTAATAACTCAGGAAATAGGTGGCAGAGTAGGGGTTGGGGGGCTGTTTCATGACTTCCCCTCTTAATCACTCACTGTTAACAATGCTCTAGATTTTTATTCTCTGTTATCCTAATCACCTCCCTGTGGGGAACCAACAGCAGTCTGCAGCCGTAGGGCAGGAGCAGGAATCTAAGACTGAGTCAGAGAAACGGAGGTCCATATCCAAACAATCGTCTAGGAAGGACTTTCTGTTTTGTAATATGTTGACATGGGACTTGCTGCCTAGAAGGTGGGAGCAGTGGTTTCTCAGTGTGTTAAGGATCTGTTCTATAATGGCACCTGTTGACCCAGACAGTAGCTTTCATGCCACCTGTTCCATGCCTGTGGGACAAAGAGTGGCACAACCCCTTTAAATCTTTAGTCTTGTGTGTGTCCATTCTCTCTATAATACTGCGGTTTTCTGGATGACAGGGAATGGTGGCTATGTCTAAGGATTGGTGGGACCAAAAGACAAGATCCTGAAATTTCCCTCTACTCTTTGTGGGGAAAGCTTCTGGGCCTCAGTGAAGCCAATCCTTCCTTCATTTGGGAACAGATGAATCTTCGAAAGTACTTTAACATCTTTTAAAAACAATGTCAGTGAGGTATCTCTGTATGAGGCTTTTATTTTCAGGAAAAATTTGGCACATGGAACTTCCAGCGTATTTGTATTACACCACCTTGAGGATAATGTTCACCATGTAAGATCCCTCTTTTAGCATTCTAGATAACTGTAGTGTCATTTGTTTAAAGAAGTTTGTATATATCAAGTTCGTGTTTCTGACAGAAAGACACGTTTATCTGGATCGCAGAGAATGTGGTCACTGGATATAGAAGTCAGAAGTTAAAATAATAAAGCTTTGCTCATAAAGTTTGAAGGAAGATTTATTCCTTGGCATTTGCAAGTAAGTAAGGTTGGCCTGGAAATCATTCACTGAAGAGTCATATTAAGATTAGTTCTGTAGATGCTCAAAATGGAACAAGTAAATGCTCAAATTTGGACAGAGTCCCCCCACTCTGAGACTGATAACATATGGTATTCATAGATCACTCTCTCAGATAATTGTTTAAAATCAACCACGGCCAGTATCACATCGACTACAGAAGAAAATATAAGGAGTCATCATATTTGGGGATGACTGCAATGGGCCAGGGTAACTGAGGTTTTGAATTTGATTAATCACTTTATACTACCCTTTCAGAGAGACCTCTACTTTTAATGGGAGCCTAGAAAAAATGTAATTCGTGCCACTGGTTAGGCTAAAAATAGGCAGTGAGTCTTCCCGTTCTGAAAGCTATAGAATTTCCTAGGTAGTGTCAACCTACATTTGAATGGGTGAGGGTAAGAATAAGGGAAGAGGAATTGAATATGACCATTTATTGCACTCCATACAATCTTTGCATGGTAGGGTACTTTATTCCAAGTGTTTTGTTGGAATTTGGTGCTGATAACCATCAACTGACATAATAATCCTTCCCACAACCAGTAATATAACCTTGAGCTTCTGTCGGAAGCCCTGGGACACCTAAAGGAGATGTGAGACCCTGCTCAAGTCCCACGTCAGAGTCTCCTTTCACTTGGAAAATCAGTTCAGTGCCCCCTGGGAGTCCTTGCAAAGACTTTCCTGATTTCAGATGTTCCTTTCTCATATCAGTCTGCCCCTGCTACATCCTGGTGACTCCCCAGGACTAAATATAAACACTTTTTCCAAGCCTCAAAACCCTTGAGCCCACATTTACAACCTAGAACTCATCACTTTTTGCTTTTAATTTTACTACATACTACATCCAGTAAAGCTAGGTGTAATTGTGGCCAACATCAGTTGGTACTTCTGATTTGTGGCTTCTCTTTATTTTTGTAGGGTGAATTAATTGCTGGCTCTATTAATCCTGCAAAATCCATGAATCCTTAATGTTCAGTTTGCTTAGAATGAGTAACAATGTATTTGTTTCTCCTCAAATATGACTTCTTGCTGAGCTGCTTTTAGATAACGTGCCTTATATCTTAGATGATTTATTCACTTTCATGTTCTCTAGAATTTATTGCTAAAGGTTGACGTGCATACTTACAGTTTGGGCTCTAATATAATCTCCTGAATGGCAATTAATAAATAAAAGATGGTTACTACTGTTGACAGAGGAACTAAGCTTTCTCAGATAATGTTCTTCATCTTCTTGTTTTCACCAAACTTCATGTCAGACTTCCCCAGGGCTTGATGGTGTAAAATATTTCCTGTAAACTCCAAAGCTTTTACTGTTGCTTCAATACCCTCAAACCTCTATGTTGCCTTTTGTTTTCTTGTCAAAAATGATCTTATCCAATTTCTGTTTCTTCAACTTACCTTCCTTCCTGAGAATATTAGAAATATGCCTCTTTCTGGATTTAGTAGTAACATGTTCTCAGTATTTATGACTCACAAGTAGCATCTGAAATTTGTTCCTGAAATTTCTGGTACTTTTTTTTTTCCCACTTGATCTCATCTCTGTTGGGTTTATTAAAGATACACTGTTGCCTGTAAAATGCCGTGTTTGTTGTCATCATGTATATTGTTCAAAGTGCAAAATCGCCTCCTGTAAGCTAATGGCGAAACTGTAAAAACAACATCTGGTCTTTGTGTTTGCCTGCTTGACTAATCTTATCCGGGCAAATCTAGACTAATGCTCTTATTCTAGAGATCAGGACTCTGTGGGCCAGTGTCAGTAGCTTGACTCTAATCAAGCAGAAGGCAGAGGCCAAGTGTATCTGTAGGCAGTACAGAGCAGAAATGCTGAAGTTAGACTGCCTGAGGACAGCTCCCAGTTCTGATGCATATGGAGTGTGTAACTTTATACCGGTCATTTCACTTCTCTGGGCATGAGTTTCCTCGTCTGTAAAATGGGAAAGCAGCGCTGCTGTAAGGTCTGTAGTGAGGTAATGCAGGCAAAGCACTTAGAACAGGACTAAGCATGCTGTGCAATTAGCTATTAGAATTACTGTCACCATTCTGATTACTTATAACATATTCAGAACATATGCAGAAGAGTGTATTGTTATGCATCTCTGTGTGTGTGCGTGTGTGCATTAGGCCTTTGCTGCACTTCAGTATTCCTTGTTTTGCTTAACACTGGGTTAAACTGGTGGCAGGGTTCATGGTAGCGACCATAGGAGAAGCAAAAATAGTGATGATAGTAAGAAAAGACGGTGTGGCTTATTGAGCCCTACTCGGTTTTAGGCATCGAGTTAGGTACTTTTATGTACCTAATCCTTAAAGTGTTCTCCATCTGCATCTATTGAAATACTGCAAAGTAGTTCATTCCCAGAAATGCAAATGTAGCCTCTGTGTGGTAATAATGTTCATAACTGGAGAGGATCGTGAGCTTTAGCCCTGGTGGAAAAGGGCCCTGATAGAATTCCTTCCATCTTTAAAATAATCTTTGTGCTGCTCGTATTTAGATAGCCTAATCCTGCCGTAGACAACCAGAAGCCTGACTGTGGCTGGGGATGGAGGTCACGGCATGAGTGAAAGGGGGCAGGTATGCAGGGAGAGCCAGTGTAAATGAAAAATATTGTATATCGGAAAACAAGCTACTAAAATTCACTTAGTTTTTTTTTTTCTTTTTGGACTTATATATTATATTTAAATATTACTTCTTTTCTAGATACCCAAATAGAAAGACAATTTGGAACAATAAGCATTGACACAGACAAGTTGTTTTCGTTCTTGCTTTGCTTTATTTATTTATTGACTAAATAAATTGCCTTCATGATACATTAATAGCTACTAAAGTGTTTAATCACAAAAATTACAATCACTTCAATGCTCTTTGATTTCCTTGCAGTATATTACTCAATAATCATAAAAATAGTGGTGGAAATAATAAAAGCTAGAATGTAGGGAACATTTGGGATGTGCACTGTGAGAGGGCTCGTCATCTTAGATGCCCTGCGTGTGTGTGTGTGTGTGTGTGTGTGCGCACATATACACACAGTCTCATACATATAGTCTCCAGATACTGCTGGAATCTTTCAAACTCATATATATCTGTGTATGTCTGCATATATGCACATATGCACATTTATTTAATATCTATCATCGTGTTAAATCTCACCACAACTTTATAGAAAAGGAAACTAAGGCTCCAAGAACTCAAACCAGTTGTTCCAAGTCACAAAAAAGTTGGCACACCTGGGATTTAAGCCCCAACCCTACGTACTCAACACCCCCTTTTGTAAGATGCTCAAACAAATATTTTTGGAACAACAGACTTTCCCACTACACCACACTGTCTCATTTGGGAAAGGGTGACTTTTTGCCTTTTCTTTTCCAGAATCTCCGAGCAAAGATTTCGGTCCAACTCTGGGGTTGAAAAAGTCCAGTTCCTTGGAGAGTCTACAGACCGCGGTCGCTGAGGTCAGGAAGAATGAACTTCCCTTCCACAGACCCCGGCCACACATGGTTCGTGGCCGTGGCTGCAATGAGAGCTTCAGAGCAGCCATTGACAAATCCTACGATGGACCCGAAGAGTTAGAAGCTGGTAGGACAAAATGCTTCCTTCCCGGGTTTCTGCATCTCAGTATTATCCACGAATCATGGGCAAGAATGTATGCTTAACTACGAAGAAAAATGATTTAGGGATCACAATTATATTTTTGATATTAAAAGTAATTCATTTTCCTGATATGTTTTGCCCTTTGGCTTAACGAACATGGAATTGGGTAACACAATATGCAATTTATTTGACAGTGCAAATATGCTAAAGAAATGTTCTCCTTCACCTTCTTACAAGGACCAACTGTCATTTACCCTTAGGGTAGGAGCACTAAGTATGCATTTCTTGACATTCTTATTGAAGTCATTAGAAGCAGCATCAACCTGAGGACTGACTGCATTAATTGGGCAGAAGCAGTTAGGTTACATTTGTGCTCAGAAACCTCTCCTGGAAATACACTCGCCCTGTTTGTTTCCCAGCATATGGGCTTTCTGAGCCGATCATGGTTAACAAGCTGGCTTTCAGAGATATTAGTGTTTTACCACATATCAGACCTTTCATACCACCGGCCAAAACACCAATTGTTCCCCACTCCCAACATCAAACCTTGCTCGAAGTAACCAGATTTCGGCAGTTGTCTCTTCAAAGGATACAAGTAGCCACGTGGAAGGGTAGGACTCTGGAAGGCCTTATTCATTCTTCTGTATTTTACATTTGAACTTTTCTTGATACACTAACAAAAAGTGCCCCTGACCACGTGTATTGATTTTTCTCTCCGTACAGACGGTCTGTCTGATAAGAGCTCTCGCTCCGGCCAAGGAGCTCTGAATTGTGAAGCTGCCCCTCAGGGGAGCTCTGAGCTAGAGGACGTGGAAAATAAAGCCAGGAAAATCAAAAAACCAAAAGAGAAGGAGAAGAAGAAGGAAAAAGGCAAAATGAAAGTCAAGGAGAAAAAGCTGAAAGAGGAAAACGGAGATCCTGAAAGGAAAATAAAGAAGAAAGGATTTGGTGCCATGCTGAGGTATGGACTCGCTGTGAAAGCACCACAGGATTCTTTTGCTTTCTGGCTTCTCCCGGTGAGATCAGTCATCTGTGTGCACCCAGGAAAAAGTCAGGCTTTCCCTCCTTTTTAGCCAAACGGGAAAAAATCTAAATTGCGAATGGGCTTGTTCCTTTTCTGCAGAAGCAGAAGGAGCCTTCTTGGGTGGCTCCGGAAGCTCGTGGTGATGGCAGGAGGCTGTTAGAAATTTGTTGTGAAAGGAAGGCTAATGCCTGATAGAGATACGGGCAGTGCCCGCGGTCCTTGGTACCAAAGCGTTATGCAGGTAAATTGAACGCCTCTTCCATCCGTATAGGGAAAGCAAGAGGCGAGGAAGTCCCCAGCTGCTGCCTCTACAACACCTGCTCGGAGTTAGAGAACACAGGGTGCTGAACCGCCCTCACCTGCCGCGTAGTGGTAGGTGTGTGCGTGGCCGGGCCTGCGGGTGCATCGGCTCTCAGCCGTGGAAGCCCTGTGGTCAGTGGACATGTCACTGGATCTTTAGTCAGATGAGCCTGTTCTTGGTCCGTGACCCTCCTCACACGGGCTGCTGGGCTTCACATGTCGCCCTGAGTCTTACCGTGTTCCTTTTCACAGTGAGGCGAGCGTACCCGCTCTCCCAACTCAGCGGGGCTGGGGCACGAGATTCCGTATGCAGCCAGCCTGTCCAACGGGCATGGCTCAGCAGGGCACAGTCAGAAAAGCACTTTGTCTCTTCTCCTACAGCTGCTCCCAGATCTGCTTTGTTGACACTGACAGAGTGTCCACAATTTGACGACGTTACTCCAGATGATGGCTTTCTGGTCGCTTTGGGGATTAAAACCGCCTCTGCGTCAGGGTCTAAAATGCCAGTCTAATGTTCTCGAAACTTCCCGGCCCTGCCCCTCAAGCCTCAACCCCAAGGAGGGGCCCCACGATGTGGTGGTAGATTCCACCTTCTCCTGCTTCTCAGTCTCTGGACCTGGCGGGGAGGGAAGGAAGGGCCTTATTAAAATAGTGGTGGAGTTGTACTCAAACAGGTGTCTGGATCTGGCATAATCTGCTGACGGGGGCCTTTGTGGGCTATTTTTGTAGATTTTTCAGGAGTTCCTTATTGCCGCTACCTAGGAGATACATTTCCCACTGACCTCCTGAGACCCTCTGGCCCTTCATCTCTGACCTCACACAGCACACCCGGAGGTCTCCTTCCCCCCACCCCTGGCGGAGAGACTGTGATGGTGGCAGTTCGAGATGGCTGTAGCCCAACCCTCCTTCTGCAGCATCCACTTGGCTCGCTGGAATTGCTGAGCTCTTGCCCTCCCCAAAAGATAGAAACGCAGCCTCTTCTCGTTGCTCCCCTCTCTCCTCATCCTGCCGTAGGGATGCCCCAACCAGCGTGGCACGTTCAGACTTCTGTATGGCAGAGCCGAGCCCCATTTTGTGCCTCCCTAGCTCCACAGCCACGTCCCAAACCCTTCCAAGCTCGCATGCATGGGGAAGGGAGCGGGTCAGTAAATGTTTGCAGGTCTCAAGCAAACAGGTAGGAAGGGGGATGGCCGTCTCCTCTACGGCCTTCACATTCTCTCAGGGGTGTTCTTGCAGCCTTCTTATTTATTTTATTGGGGGTGTGAGGGGGAGACACCCCTTTGCATTACTTTCTGTATTCCTGTAATTCTCCATCACAGAAAATCTCTCTCTCAGGGTCTACTTTTCCATGGGCTAAAGGTGAGAGGTGAGAGGTGATGCTGGCTACTTCTTATTAAGCCCCTAGGAGATGTCTCTGTCAAGAATGCTGGGTGGCATTTGTCATCAGATGTTTTCAGTTTGGGATTTTTCAACTGAAATTTCAGACAGAAATGCAAGTTCCGTTCCATGTCTGTTATTCATATATAACACATGAACATAGATATAATCTGTTATTATATATATATATATATATATATATATATATATATATATATATATATATATATATATATATATGGAAAGAGAGAGAGAGAGAGAGATCTTGAAATTGCAACGTCACATTTAGGCAATGCAGATAATACTGACACAGGGGGACAAATTTCTCAGTAGGCATTGGTTTGTTTTTCCTGGTGGTCTCTATAGACTCTGTCTTTCCAGTTGACATTTTGAATGTTAAACTTGCCCTTTTTCCAGGTAATTATTATGATTGCCAGAATTTGAGGGCTATGCTTTAAGCATCCTGATAATAATGACACACACAATACAAATATATAGAGAGAATTGCCTTTGAATTTATTTATGGAGCTCAGAGGTTAACAGTGCAGGCTCTGCATGGGGAATGCTAAATTCAGTCCCGGCCTTTCTACCTCTCTTTCTAGGTAACATTGGGCACATTATTTAATCTCTGTGCCTCAGTTTCCTCATCTGAAAAATGAGAATTAGAGTATACCATTATGATGAGAATTATATTGGTTTGGTTACACGTAACATGCTTAGAATGGCACCTGGCAAGACATACACATTCAATAAATGTTAATTATTGTGGTAAGCAGAATAATGGCCACCTAAAGATGTCCATGTCCCAAACCCTGATACCTGTGAATGTTATGTTGCATGACAAAGGCAAATCACGATGCAGATGGAATTAAGGTTGCTGATCAGCTGACCTTAAGATAAAGGTAATTATCCTGGATTTCCCCCAATGGCCCACGGTGATTACATGGAGCCTTAAAAGTAGAAGATGTGGCTATGGAAGGAAGGTACAGAGGAATGCAACATTGCTGGCTTTGATTTGGAGGGAGGTGGCCATGAGCCATGGAATGAGGGCAGCCTCTAGAAGTTGGGAAGGACAGAGGAGTGGATTCTCTCTGGAAAGCCTCCAGAAAGGAACATAGCCTGCCAAATCCTTAATTTCAGCCCATTTCTATTGTTTAAGCCACTAAGTTCATAGAAATTCTTTTTATATCATCAATAGAAAACTAATACAGTTGTTATAATTACTATTACTACTTCTACAATATCGTACTCATTTATAAGGAAACAATTTCCTCTTTAATCTAAGGTGTTAAAGAAAAAAACTGTAACGATTTAACTAGAGTAGCCTATACATATAAAGACTGTTCGAACTTCACATATCCCATTTTCTAGAATATTACTAAATCAAGCCTTAGCTCTGTGTTTCGTCTCAGATGCTTTGATTTGGCACGTTCAGGCCCCGTTGCCCATAATTCAGAGACAGCTATTCTTTGTGTTGCCCAATAGACGCCATATTGGCCTGTGCTGGAAATCACAGGCCCTAGATCCTTTCGACATCTAGCAACTCCGCTTTGTTTCCTTCTCCTGTTTTAGCAAAATTAAGATCTGAAAGGTGGTGTTTGATTTTATCTCCAGTGTAAAAATAGCAACTGTTTTCCATAGCCTTTTGCGTCTGAGTTTGCGAGCATATTGGAGTTGCTGCTACATGCACACTTTCAACAGCAAAGAACACAAAAGCTGTTACCATTAGCCAACAGATTTTGCTTGAATTCTCATCTGTTGCTCAGATGCTATTGACTTAGTTTCTTTCTTATTTAAAAAAGATTGATCGCTTTAAGCTTCCCTAGGAGTTGGGTGTGTGGTTTAAATATGTATTATTTTTTCCATTATCTGCGTTCGCAGCCACTCTCCTGACATGGAGCTTTAATGTAGGATGTTGCCCCTGTGCCATGTACAGTGGCACCTGGCCGAGGGCACGAGTGGGGACCGAAATGGCCTCCCTCCCTTCACCAAACCACACGCCATGAAGGAGCGAATGTGTTAGCAGTGGCTTTGCTCTCGCTTGTAAAAAGCTAAGTGTTGTGTGCTTTTCTGATATCAGCTGGTCCGTTTGTGTTCATGATATGTAGTCGTATGGTTTAGCTCATTAGTTAATTGGACCTCCTCCTGATCCTTTTGAAAAACTTACGGGGATCTAATTAATTCATACCTTTCAATGTGTGGTCTGGTTCCAGTATGCTTTGCTGATTTCAGAATTACCTCCTTGTAGATTCAACTGTGGCCCTTACACAGGCCATGAATTATGATGGCAAACTATGCAGATCAAGAACCTACCCACTTTCCTAGTTTCTCCAAATCCTGTTTACCTGCTGTTGAAAGAGAATGTTAGGGGATCGAGGTGCTTCAATTTTTTCATCATGTGTCTGGCTTCCTTAGGGCATTGTACTCTTCATGGCAATACCCGCTACCATGCCTGTGGCTCCTTACAGCTCCTTGCAATCTGAGGCTCAGACCCCCTCAGTACCCAAGCCAGATGCTGTCAGCCCCAGGCTGCTTTCCTGGGCTCTAGCAGGTATTTTCTAAGCATTGAAGAGAAATATCCTTTAGCTAACAAAATCTTGCCCTGTCTAGAGTGGAAAGCCTAGCATTCAGTCCCTGATTTCTTAATTATTTAATAACCTCGTGGATCTTTACGTTCCTTAAACTGAATTCTGTCACAGATCTGTATTTAAAATCCATTCCTTTATATCATACTTGCTGTTGTTTCCTTTTGATGGTATAGGCCATTCACTTCAAAGACCTTTGAATTATCAACTTGTGCTGGACCCTGAACGGAAAACTTTGACCTCGATCAAGTACCTTTTCTCTACCCTTTGTGCCATTTGGTACCAGAAGGAAGCGTGCCTAGTAAACTCCTTGTTGACTTTGCTTTGATTAGCAAATAACAAAGTGGTAAACCTGCCAATAGAAAACGTCACCTCTGTTTCAAAAATCTGTTTGCCCATAGTCGTTTGATTAATAATGTGTATTGAATGCTTACTCTTTGCCAAGCGCATTCATAATTACTCTTCATTTATTCCACATTATCTATCAAAGGCTGATTTTGCATCAGGCACTGTTCTAGTCACTAGGCATACACCAATGAAGTCCTTGCTTTTATGGTGTTCTTTGGGTTTTTTGTTTTGTTTTGTTTTGTTTTGGTTTGGTTTTAATGAAGGAAAACTCAAAGACTTTTGAATGTCTTACGGTGAGTGTAAAACCAAACAAGCAAAATATCACAT